AATCCATCTATTCAATTGTAGATGGAAATCTACTTAAAGAGTCTTTTAGCGCAGATGTTCTATTCAAAATCTTATATACCTCTCATCATGAGTATAGAGGCGATTTTCTGAGATATAAGGATGAAGTTTCTTGCTCATTTTTCTGTGAATGTCTGTCTGTAGAATTATATAAAGGTCTTGCGAAAATTATAAACACGGTCCGTCTTGAAATTGTTGTGCTAATCTTTGTGTTCAAGAATTGCTAAAATGAATCAATAAAAAAATGGTACTGCTAGAAAATTACTGAAAAACATAAAAACTCTAGCATGAAATATCGCTTTCTAGTTTTTTTCATCCGAGTATTCTTCTAGATCAACCGATTTCAAGTAATTTTTCCACAATAATGCGCACAAAAAAAATATTACACATGTTACTACGCTCAAAATATTTTGAATGCAATTGTGCTTTGTTTGGTTGAAAACAATGACTAGTTTGTATTACTCTTGGATAATCATTTATCTAAATAATGTATAGTGACAACACCAAAATTTACAGTTGTCTGAATCTATAAGACCTTTATCTATCAGGCATAGTCGATGAACACAAATGAAATTGTTGTAACAAAAAATTTTCTTCATTTCTCTTTTCTTTTTCTTTCTTGACAACACCTGTTTATATTTCGTCAAACACAGTCAATTTCAATCTGCTGTAGAAAGTAAGTAGCATCAGTCAGAATGAGATATCATGTTTTTTCTGAAAATTATTCTGCTAATCATTTGTTGTTGTTGTGGACCTATGAGACAGTGAACAGCATATGCAGACGAGCTTCTAAGAAATAATATGGAAACTGGAAAACCCGGTATACATGCTATCGAGTCTACAAGCCTATAACATATGATATCTTTTGATCAAGGCAGAAGTTCGAGAAAAATGAGACTTTCCAAGTTTCGCGAAATCTAGGTGGGCAGTTTGCAAATCGTTTCAATTTATGATTTCGTGGACTCCTTTTTTTATCAAACAAGAATGGCGCATAGTTCAAATAAAAAACTTCCGTCTTGCAAGAAGATCTCAAATATTTCCGTTAGAGTCTAGAAGATGCTAGGTTATACAGATATTTAGACTCAAAACCATTGCACTTTACTTTTTTTCTGATTAATTATATGTCATGTGTAACAATTCAATCATGATCACCAAGGGAGGCTTTTAGTATATATTCTTCTTTTTCCTACAGACGAAATTTCTCCAAGAACAAAAAGAGCAAGCATCTTATAAAGTGTATCAGTTCACTCGAATCATTGCTTTTACTCTTAAAGATTTATTCTATGGAGTGACTCACTCCGACAATAAATACATTCATAGCAACTTATCTTTCATTGTACTTACAATCTAATCACTTCAATTTTAGACAATTAATCGTAACTGTCTCTGTAACATAGGCCAACTTTGCGTCGACTAACGATTATTCTCTATCTGGTAGAATTTTAATAGATTAAATGACGTTCACAAGTCCATCATTGACCAGCATATTGCTCAACATTCAACGACAAATAATTCTTTATGTTGACTCAACTTTTCTGGCTTTGGGTCTGGTCTGTTGCTTTCTCAATATTGCGCTTTTTTCTCGGCAACGATTTCGTTCAGTGTCATGCTGCACATGTAAGTGGTTTTTCCTCAATTATAAAAAAATCAGGCCAGTAGAACCTATAAAATAAGTCATTATTATGCCAATTTTTCTTGTCAAATGCGTAGTGTCTCATGTGTCTTAGCTTCTTATGTTTTATTTTAATGTTATTCTCTTGCATCTAGTTGCATTGTGGGCATAGCTAAGAGGATACATTCGTAAAAAAGTTGAAAAATATGCATATTACTTACCCTTTTGAATAGATTTTTTAGCTGGCAATGTAGCATGGATAATCATCTTGTCTTGGGGAATTGGATTCTATCTGTATTCACTCAATCATACGGATCCAAGCCTGATCTCAGCGGTGTTTTGCAAACTGCGCTACTATGTGCTTCCATCTGCTGGTTTGATGTTTCGTTGGTGTCTGGTTGTCGCTTGTTTTGATCGCTATGCGCTCTCATCAGTCAAAGCACGTCTTCGTAATTTTGCTACGGTACGTGTGGGGCATCGTGTTGTGACAGTGATTGTGCCTGTCTGCATCGTGCTGCCTGTACACATCCTAATCTTTTACAATGTGGGAGCAGGCGGGTGTGGTATTTTCTATAGCAAGGCAGCAGCATTCTATCACAGCGCTTTTATCACTTTATTCGGTGGTTTTCTTCCACCTGTATTGATGCTCATTTTTTCCCTATTAATTTATCGCAATTTACGTGCGAAGCGGCAGCGTCTTCAGAATACGATCAAAAGCCAACACACAGATGCGAATGTAGACACGCACTCAGAACCCATTAGCAATCAACAAGTTCTACTGCTGTTATTCGTTCAAGTACTTTTTTATATCATTCTCTTTATACCTTGGATGAGTATTGCTTTTTATAATGCAGCCACACTCACTATTTTGAATAAGTCACCTGAACGTGTGATGATAGAGCGATTTGTTGGTTTTGTAGCCGAAACTATTCTTTATTCACATTCGATTTTTTCATTCTGCTTGTACACATTGGCATCACATACATTTCGCCAGGAACTAGTAAAAATGCTTAGTCGTTTATTTCGTCTGAGAAGATTTATTAGAAATGATCGCGTCGAACCAATAACCAACAATAGTCGACAGCAAGGATTTCAAATGCAACAGACCTGAGCAACATTAAAAAAACTTACATACTGCTCCTGGTAGTGAGTTTTTAGGTGACGCAATTGAATCTGGTCAACCACAATCAATTACAGACAGAAATGTGACAAAAAAAACATGATCCTTTCCGTTAATATATTTTCTTATCAATCCTCAACATTATTAATATTGGCAACATAGCAACAATGTTCCATATGACAGGTTCTCAGTATATCTTTGAGATAGGTGAGACTCTACAAGACTATCTATAGGTAAAGTGTTTCATTGGTGAAAAAAGGACTTGACTTTATCCTGGAATATTTAAAATTTTCCTTCATCCACTTCTTGGCATCAATTGTTGTTATATCATGCAATTTCTAATAGTATTGCTCTCACCAAATTGTAGCTTTATGTCTTGTGCCTCAAGTATCGTATTCATTGCTTTTCTTGTCTAAATGAAAAATTTTTATTAATCTTATTCTTATCATTTCGTATTGTCGTCATTCATTACTCATGTGTACGTAGTTGTCTGGATGGTTACTTCTGTTCAAACAGACGTTGTTTTTGAAAAAATATATTCTGCTTTCTAATGAAATCGACAATTTTCAATAATAATCAAATTCGAAAACGATTGATTCTTCCAATAGTACATTTGTAAGTCATTGTTTGGCATATTTCACAAACAAACAACAATTGTGAGGGGAAGACATTGCTGAAAGGAACTTTCTTCAATAAAAGATGATAGATGGATTATACAGTTCACGTGCTTGAATACTATAGAGAAGTGTGACTTGGTAGACCAAGTGAAGAATAAGAAACACAGGCCAAAACAACGTCTAAAGAACAGAAAATTTTCATTTATCTGTCGTGATCACGAATTCCCCCTTGTCAATGCATTGTAGTAAAATGTGCCCTAATACTACAGTAAAGAAGCAACGATTCTTTGAGCATCTAACTCTGTTCCTTCGTGAAATACTGTGCAGTTAGACATCAATGAATAAATCCGTCAAACAATACAAAAACGTGTTCTTGCAGATCTTAAAAATATTTCAGTGTTTAGGTCATATTCGATTTCGATTCAGAGTTCTCGTTAATTTGTGTCAGTTTATATTTGGACGCTTCAATCTTTTAGTTAAGAATTGAATCATAGAGTATAATGGACTCGTTGTAAGAGTACATTGCAATCCTTTTACATGTCAGTCACTTCGAATGAAAAAAGCAAAACATTTTCCCTGACAACTCTAGAATTAGTAAAAGTGTTCGGCTAGCAGAGTAGGGTGTGGGTGTTCTTTTCATGTGAGCTCACACCCACATCCTTCTTTGTTCATTTCTCACAATTAAAGTCCTAAAAAAACCATTTTTCAATAGCATCGTACCACAAGAAGTAAAGTAGATACATTCTAGTGAACTAAATAAAATTTTTTCATACCACTATTTGAACAGCTCGCATCGAAAATTCATAGCTATATAAAATATTGAGTTTTAATTTTCATTAATCTCTCTGTACTTCATACATTTTTAAGTGGAGAAATAACCTATCACATAAGAATTCAAGTTTGAACAAACAATATGATAGTATACTATCGATACTGTATACTTATATAAAGTTCTACAGTCCAAATAAGAAGCTTTAATTAATTTGTACTAGCATACAGTTCTTTTTATTCAATCCAAAGAATAAATACTCAACTTGATTAAAAAAAAAGTGTTTCAAGGAATACAGTTTTTTCTTCGATACACAAAAATTCAATATGCAAAACTATGTCTCAATATGGTATGCATTCTGACATCTCTGATGTTGATGTGAATAACGAGAAAATCCACACTAACACTCCACTTCATTTACCTTTCGTTAAAATCATAGATCATATGCTAGGAGGGAATCCAACGGTGCATTTAAATCTATGCTCGTAAAAATAACAATTAGTATTAAAAGCGAAGGCATGTTGTTGAGTTTTCAACTGGTTAATATGAATTTTTATGTTTAGTGTTGGTTTCTATTTTCTCCATTTCTTGTGTCAATCTTGAAGACTGACAAACACTAGCATATGCAGGTATGCAGCGGCGACGATAATCGGTCTCATAGGTAACCATTCCACTGAAAAGAAACGGTGACGGTGAAGCGGGATTCACCGTCATTGTTGCATCTGTAAGCATAGTCGCGCAGCTATATTTTTGTTTGCGTACAGAACAGAGAAAAAAACCGCTATAACCAATAAAACATGAATGAAGCGCAAAATATCATATAATTATTTCTTTTTTTTTTACCAGTAAGAAAAACATCAAGCCATGCCATCTACGTTGGAAACGTTGTCCGATGAAATTCTAATGATCATTTTACAATATTCTGGTAATGTTTATAATATATTTCGAACATTTTCTGGATTAAATAAACGTCTGAATAATATTCTTATTGATAGACGTTTACATCTATTTACTGATTTTTTATGTATGCATCATGACGATACAAATCTGGATTACTATTATAATTCTGCATTGTTTCATGATATATCTCGACAATTATTATCACTGACTAAAATAAAAAATGACCAAGTACTTCGACAATGTTTTAAGTCGTTAGTTTTCTTTCATATCAAAGAACAAGCTAATCGATTGAAATGTGAATTTCAATTGAATATGAAACAGTTTCAATCTATTCGTTTACTACTTACGAATGATGAAACACGAAATATTGATGAAGAATTAAAGAACTCATTGAACAAATTTAAAAAATGTCCCAAATCTATTAAGGACATAGAAAAAATTACATCACTTGTTTTAAAACAAGGTGCTCGCCTTGAATATGATGATAGCGAATCCCGTGAATTTAATCTTACTAAAACAATTAATGAATTGTTACTTTCGAAGCTCAACTCTATTGAATATTGCACACGATCATTGATCAATTCTCTCGTTCAAATGTTTAAATCACTCATTATTTCAAATATGAATCTTCTCAAGGATCACGATTGGTTTTATTATGATAGTTATGGTATTCACTTTTTTCTATGCTATTCAATTTATCAAATAAATAATATTAATTCTCATAAAACAATAAATTCTATCAATATGCAATGTTATCAAGTTATTCTAGATTTATTTCTCTTTACTATACAATGTTTGAAACACTTATTTAATGATGAAATTTGGGCGAAAATATATCTTTTCGATATATTTAATATGATTAATTTAACAAATATTGTCACTAATTATGAAATATTTATTGAAGCGAATCAAATTGCAATATTGAATATTGTACTTAATGAATATAGTCTCGAAGATAAAATACTATTCGATGAAGATTTTAATGATACATTTCAACAAATTCTAGATAATCTAATTGAAAATAATCGAATACATATACTGTTATGTATTTACCATTCAAATGAACGTATAAGAAATTTATTTCAAAAATTCTGGAATAATCAAAAATATGTAAATATAATGACAAGAAATCGAACAACGAGACAATTTTTTCATGCACTCTTAAATGATCATCTATTAAGAGCATGGTTAACAAGTACAGATTTGTTATTTATTTTATTAGAGAAGAAAGAATGTAAACTTGTGAAAAAATTATTAAAATTATCTCCATCACTTATTCATCGATGTGACAACGATGGTAATGATCCATTACTTTATATCTGTTTGAACGTACACGGATGTCGACAAAACATAGTCGAATTTCTAATTGAGATGGGATGTGATTTGCAAAGGAGAAATTCATTGGGCCAAAATTTGATCGATGCACTACGATTGGAAAAAAATCGAAAACTATTGAAAAGATTATTCGAACGAAAAATGATTCAAATCGATGATGTTTCTGGCGAAATAACAACGACGTTAATTAACCAATTACATTGACAACTTTTCTGAACGAGAATTTTTGTTTTTGGTATGAGTTCAAATTCTTTCTGATCTTCATGACAACGATCAAATTCCTTTAATTAAACTTTTACAAAAGGAGAAGTAATGATTAAATGATCAGTTTCTTCACTCAATTTATTCACATATGCTAGATACACATTTGATGTTGATTTTATCTGTCGAAATATGCTCTTTGAATAAGAATTGTTTATTGTGAAATGTTCTTTTGTTCATATGCACAACTGTAGAGCGAATGGAAGAGTATTTCTTGAAATCAATGCAATGTTGACGAAAGCATAGGGTTGAAGTTCATCAAGTTTTTTGAAGAAATTTGGCTATTTTACAGTAGTCATTGATATGAAGTAAAACCATCTTCTACACTCGTTAGTAACAGAGAAATTAGTGCTAATTCAACAAATTAAACCGTTGTGTACGTATATTTTTTCATGCACAGAACTATTGATTATGGTATATGAATACAAGAGTCTCTAGTCTTTACTTCAAATCAATTTTGAACACTACTTTTTTTACAAGCATTAGTTCAGAGAAAATTAGCAGATAGAAAAGCTCGACGGATTATGTAGGATACCAGAGACGTACCACTGAAATTATTTCATTTCAATGGATTACTGATTCTATTCGTCGAATTTCATCAAGATTCGCCATATCTGTCTTGATAAAATCCGTAAAATTTATGCAAAGGATAGAAAAAAAGCGTCAAGTCAGTTAACCAAATGAAAAACTGAAATGGATCAAAATAATAGTGATAAAAATCGCTCTAAAACATGATCAAGTCTTTTAACTAGATGACTGGTCCCATCGTATGCCTTCCGAATTCCTGACTCACAGATATTTATTTCAAATGTTAATTTTCATATCGAATCTGACTGTTCTGATTACAAGTCTGTTTTAAAAATCTGAACCTAGACTTTCTCTTCGTTTCTTTTTTTTATGTAGATTTAATGTTTCATTCTTTATTAGATATCTTATTCTATAAGTATATTATAAAAAATCATAAAGTCCATGATGAATATATTCGGTATCTTGATTTGAATGCTTAGTTTATTCATGTTTGCATTTAGTGAGATCAATTGATAGATTCAAAATAAATACAATGATGTATAAAGTGATATTTGATTTTATTGATGAATTTTGCTAAACGTATAAATAGCTCGCTTGTTCAATTTTCAAATCCATGATAAAATATAAGTGTAAGATGTCTCCTTAATGAATCAAATTTTCTTGAATTTCGGTATAACTGGATTTCACTCTGTCTCTCATCAATTTAAATATATTTTTGATTATTTTATTTTGCGAATATGAGAAAGATGTTTTTTGTGAATTAAAATTATACTAAATAATTTCTCTTTTCTCATGAAAAATGAACGAAGGTATTGTGGTAATGTTGTAATAATCTCCAGTCAAATCTTTGTGATATTAAAAGTCGCAGATGGATCGTGGTCTAATATTTTCAGGTATTCAGAAAACGATAATATATTTGTTCTAGATTGCGTTTTTATTCAGATAGTCTTTCTCAAATAAGAACGATAAATTAATGTTGTTTTACATTTATGAATAAGAATAACTTTGTTTTATTATTTGTTATTATTAACAACATTTTTTTCGGAAAAGACTAATCTCTATTGGTTGAAAAGGTTAACTTTACTATTGTCGATTTATGTTAATGAAATCAAGCATTTTAGTTTGAATAATTGTTCACACTTAAAAGCAAAGAAATCCCTGTTTTAACCACTTGTAAAATAAATTTTGTAAAAGTCCATATAGTCTTCATATTTGGTCTGATTCAATAATTACTATCAACGAATGACTCCTTGACAGAAATATGGAAAATTGTAATTGATGTTTTTTCCACTCCATGGAGATTTTTATGCTTTGGTTGTTGCTCAAAAAATTTTTGGGCAGTGGTTCTTTTGATCAAAGATTGCGAAATAAAACACTACACATTATCTCTTTTTTTATTGAATATGTATGAAAAGTAATCTTTTTGCAAAAACATTAGAGCAAAGTCTTATTATTACCTAAACTCTCAAACCATCGGATGAGTTCTAGTGCCAGGATGAAATCGGTATCATAGTGTGGGTGTGGGGTAATGGTGTGAGTCTCGTTTAAGTGAATGCCCACACCATTTTTTCTATTTACCATTTGCTTTTGAGTTTTCTTCTACTCAAATAAGAATTAAACATTATCTTGTTCTCGATACATTTAAGAGAGCATCCTATTTACATCCCAAGCAGTTTAGACTAGTGCCTGGCGTGACCAAGCTTTTTGGTTACCCTCACGGCTTGTGACCTTCGTAGCCGTAATTCACAAAATTCTTTTCTAGTTTGAGTAGCAAAATTTATCACATACAGTAAACAATGAGCAACTCGATTTCAGTTCAAAAAAGCTTTGTCTCAGGAAAATTTTATACGATAATAATGAATCAAAAATGAATTTAATAAGAGTTGAGCATAAATATAAAATTATTTAAATGAAGAAGTTAATATGCAGTAATAATTCGAGAGTGTTACAACAATGTATTATCATTTTATTGAGAAAATGAACAAATACATTTAATATAGAAATTCATGAATTTTCGACTTTATTTAAAAGTCATCATCAGATGAAGAATTGTTCTTCGCATTTTTCGGTGGGGTTTTGGTTTCTTACATTTCGGATGTGCGCCTTTGGTTGGAATACGCAGGGTTATAGTGCTATGTTTTGTTCGTGGACTCGTGAGTGTGTTTGATTAGTGTATATGAATGGTTGCTCTGTCGCAATGTGATTCGGATGAGTTAAGAACTGGTTTTTTTCGCTGCTGCAGACAGGGCTTTTGTTCTGTTTTTTTGTAGTGTTAGGTTATGCTGTTGTGGGAGATACTGCTTTTTCTGTTTTTTAGTGGCCTCTGGTGGTATCATATTTTTAAGAAAAGGAAAGATAAAGGCTATTCGCTTGTATTCATGGGATGAGTAAGTGTTGTTCTTGTTGGGTTTTTTATTTCGTTTTTTCGTCGGTGTATGCTAGAACGATTTTGTGTGTAACGAAGGCTGATTTAAGTGGTATAGGTAAGTATGTTTTTTTCATTTTTGGTTGTTGAAAGAAGCTCACGTTTTAGTGTGATGGTTTTTCCTGTCACAAATATTGATTATTTTTTACGTGTGAATTATGGTGAAAGTGTATTACGTGCATACCGTGTGGTGAAAAAGTTTTATCGTCGGTTTCATTCGCTTTTGGTGGATTTTAAATTTTTGAAGACGTGTCGAGCTTATGATATTATCCCTAAGTTTTTGTGGTTTAAGACGGCTAATGATGATCTCAGCGGTTCATCTGTTTACAAGAATTGTCAACGTCGTTTTCTTAATTTGCAAATCGACATAAAGTATCGTGATTTACGGAGAATAAAGAAGTTTTATGTTTCATCGGTTGAAGTTCTGAAGAATGCTACTCCTTACGATCTATTTCAACATCTAGAAGCTGTGATTGTTTTTATATCTGTCTCGGTTTTGCAAAAGAAGCAGGATAAACTGAACGAAAAGCTGTATGGTTNGTAATAAAAGAAGTCGATCAAACAAAAAGAACACTGAAAAGGATAGAATTTTTTTTTTAAATTAAAAATGGGGAAAACATCAGTTGAAAAGGGAAAGTGGTCTGAACATATTTTGCGATATCGAATTCCAATAATTGATAGGAGATCATAGTGACGTCTTTTTCTAATATGTCAAGTATATATTATAAAATTATCATGACTACATCGGGTACCTCCACTAGTCCTATATATTTATGTCTTTTCTTGCATTTATTCACTGCAGCAAAGAAATGCAAGAAAGACATAAATACATAGGTTGATAGAGAATTTCACGCGTTTTCAGAATATATACGTTCTTTTGTAATAACTTGTTTCTATATTAAAAATATTTTTGAAAAAATGGATGAAGAAACAAAAATGCATTTCCTGGAAATCTGGCGATGAGGGTGCCTTTGTTGTGCTTGAATTAATTTTTAGCCAACAAATGCAATTCAAAACGTGCATATATAGATTTGTAGAGAATTCCACAGACTATTCGAATATATAATTATGTTTCTCAAAATGTTAATTTATAATGATGATATATCAAGAATATCGTGTGATACTATTTTTTCCCAGAGGGATATATAAATAGTGAAGCATTTATTTTTCAATTGATCTATATTTCAAGTGGTTTTTCTTTGGTTGGCAGAACACAATATATATCGTATTTGGGAATATTCTAAGACTGAAATTTGAAATAAGCAAATGACTTTGCAACAGAAATTCAAATGAAATAAATATATTTATAACTAATTGAAGTATTATTGATGTTGTTAAGTAATATAAATGATTAAAAATAGACATAGTTAGTTAAATAAAGCTTGAAATGATCAAAGAATTCATATAAAGATTTAAAATTTATTATTTTTTTGTTTCTCTGTACAACAAGTAAGAAATCCGAAATGAAAAGGTAGAATGCTATAAAGACAGATTATCACCGATTGTAAATAATTTTTGAAATAAAAAAAGCAAGTTAACAGTAATAAAGCATGGATATATGTATATATAAATATTCTGTTCTATAAATTAAAGTACTACGGATTTATTGATGCCATACGTTGACGACATATAGGACAAATACGTGTTATTTGTAACCAATTTGCAACACATTCAGGATGAAATAAATGTCCACAGTGAAGTTTTTTTAATGATTCACCTGCTTCAAAATTAGTTCGACATATTGCGCTAAAAAAACAAACACAAGAAAATTAAATGTTCATCAAAATCTTTCAGAATAATGCTTATAAAATCAAAAGTGTTACACAAATTTATTTATTAGGCATTGTGAGTAGTATACTGCAACTGGACCAGTTTGGGTCTCAAGTATAATCTAATATCCAGATCTGACAAGGTAATTATTGAGATCTCGATGTTTTGAAGTATGTTTACTCTTTCAAACTGCTAATTTATAACAAATCATAGGAGGGAA